AGTTGATTTGGATTGATTAGCAGATGATGCTTCAGTTTTTGGCTTAACAACCTTATACTTAGTTAATAAAAGCGAACAATGAACTTGACGAGAGACATCTTCTGAACGAGTATACTCCGCAACACCATATGCAGATTCTGATGATGCTATACGATCTTCCACAGACATCGATGAAGTACGACTAAGTAGGTCTTTGAATTCAGTTGAATACGATTGTTCAAACTTATCCTCTAATTCCTCTTTAGCTGAGAGGTGATTCAGTACACGATTGCTTTTATAGGGTACCCCATAGGAACCGAACAGCGTCCAACCTAACAGAGTCTTCACGGCGAATGGTTCATTCGGCTTTCCAGTTCTTACCTCTTTCATTTCGTGTACACTCGGTGCGTTGCACCCGATCAACAGTTCGACATTCTCATCCTCTACTCTAGGAAAACTTATGTCTTTTAAATGCGTCCAGGATTTCATTTGAGACGTCGTTGGTACCGTCCTACGCAACATAGGTAATCTCTCGACTGTCCATACGTTTTGGATTCTAAATGCCGAAGACGAGTCTAAGGAGGAAACCTCTAGTTGAACCTCTTTACACTGAATTGTGGAATGGTTATCCAACGTTTTCAACGAAGTCGTCTTAGGCTCTCCTTCTAAATTCAACCTTTTAGCTAGATCGTCTGTAATAAGAAAGGCATCCGACCCACTATCTAAGAAGGCGCAAGTCTGTGCTACCTTTTCTCCATTTCTTACCAGTACAGGCACTATTGCGAATGCTGCTTGTTTCTGTACACGCTCAACACTTTTCTCCTTACATAGCTGGGTGTTAATGTGTGCATCAATATTAGTATTCCTTGGTTCTTCCCGCAACTTGTGTAACAGGGTATGGTGTCTCCAGCCACACCCTTCGACAGCACACGACCTCGGCGATCGACAGTTTTTTGCTACGTGGTTTGCCTTCAGGCATACATTACACAACTTGTGTCTAAGAACGAATTCCTTCCTTTCTCTAACATTCTTGTCTTTAAATTCCTGACATTGGTCTAAAGAATGATTACTGGAGCACTCCAAACAAGATGAACTGCGTAAGAGAGCATTATCATCACTAGCACTCGCATAAGATATTCTTGCTGCATTGTAATCTGTACTAATTTTCCTTTTTAAAACACCAACATCTCTATTGTCACAATTACTACCGCGGTTGACGAGTAGGCCGTATCTAGTATTAGCTATATCAGCTTGCTCCTTTACAAACTCAACGAGATCAGTGAACAGAGGCTCTCTGCCTGCTCTGATAATCTTATAAGCTACCTTTAGCCACTCTTGTTGAATGTGGGTTGGTAATTTCAGAACCATAGTTTCAATAGTTCTAGAAGAGTTCAAATCAGAAACGTAATTCATCTGTTCGAGAGTCAAATTACATGCTTGCATTTCTCTAGATAGTCTTCTCAAACCATCTGGTTGATTTCTCCTTATATTGGGAAAGTTTAACAAGTTATCGATAAACGTGCGTGCTACGACGTGTTTTTGGCCAAACGTTTCCTCTAAAAGCTTTAGGGCTTGGTGGTAACCTATCTCTGGTTCTAGTATAGTACGATGGAGGATAGCGGCTTTCGCTTCTCCGTCACAATATTGAATCAAGTAATTTAGCTTAGCTCTAAATCCAATATTCTCACTCCCAATGCATTCTTCGAAATTTCTAATGAAGTTCCAATAATTTGTCGGTGTACCATCAAACCTTACGACTTCTCTTTTTGGTAAATACAGATTTTTTAATATTGTATTCTCACTGTTGCTTACTGATTGGCCTGAACCTTCACATCTCCGGCAGCGTAATTTTTCTAGTTCAATTTCCTTTTCTAACTGGGTTATGCGCAACCTAGCTAACTCTAGTTCTATCATGCTGTTGTTTTTGAGTTCGTTCTTTCCAAGTTGATCCTCGTCATAAACTCCCGAGTGATGTAGTGATAATTCTGGAATCTCATCGGAATCGTAGTGTTTATTGGGAGTCATTTCAGTAGGTATATCGAATGTACTGTTCGAAACTTTGTAGGAAGCAATTTCCCACAGATTCAACTCTAAGCTAATCTCTAGACTGTCGAATACAGTCTTGGTTTAGCCAAAGTCAGAACAAGCAGGCTATTTGGCTAGATAAACTTTATCTGTTTCTAAAACATAAATTAACATCGTTAGTGTACAAACAAACAGTACGGTCTATTAATACAGGGAAAAACAGACAAATAACATACCGAACAGTAGCCAGAGAATAGGAAAAATGAGTCAACAAGCCAATATTGTTTTACAATGAACATTAAACTGTGGTTGGTTAATAAAGAGATACAGTCGTACAAGGTCAAAAGGAGTTGATGTGGTGGTGGGCGTTTCACTTATTATTGGTGGGTTCGTCTATCAATCACATTTTACACTAGTTTTACGTTACAATTGTACTGCAAGTCTCAGTGCACTAATTCACTAACTGTTAATCTTAGTCACATTAAGAATCATAAACTTGATTAAGGTCTTCAGGATGATAAAAGTTGACTTTTATATAACCCCTTAAGCGAAATGACTCAAAGACCATCACAATAGTCCGAATCCATCTTATTTTTGTCTTATAAATCATGGACATTTGGTTACTATTCATTTAGCTCCCATTATTTATTTTAAAATGTCCTTCTAGTTAATCTTCTGTTTGTTTACTGTTAGAAGTCATTGTAATTTAAAGCAACGTTTCTGTATTCAAGGTTCTGTTTGATGTTGTTAGTCTGAGGTTCATTGTGAAGTCGATTATCACTGTTGAAGCTTTGTGCATGCAAACAGACGACGGTTTCAGGAGATACTGAATAACAGTAATCTTAAGTATTGTATCACTGGTACTACCAGTTGGTAATCGAATGGAGAAGTTTTGGTTGATAGAAACTAATAAATGCAAAAAGGAATGGGAATTACGGTTTATTCTAATAAAGGTGAGGATTAAAAGGATGCTAATAAAAAATAACTATCAGTTCTTTTAAGAATGACTTGTATTATGAATTAAGAGAGAAATAAGTACAAATACAAGTGATAGAAAACGTTAAGGTATTAAACTAAATACTGATGAAAACAAGACTACACACAAAACAAATTAGTATATATTTACTTTACAATAGATCATTTGAGCGAAGTTTAAAATAATTTGAAATGTATTAAAGACAATAAACTACATTTCAAGTTATATTTTTTATGCCTCATTGGAATGGAATTAGAGTACGTAAAAATATAACAACACCACTGATTTTTTTATAATGAATAGCTACACCTCCAGAAAAAGCAAGTAATTAACGACAAGATTTAGAGATCTGTAGAATATTGTAAGGTGGAATCTAGGTCACAGTGTCGTACGGAAAATGGAGTTATTACTAAGCAATAAATGGGGCACAATTGTGTTCTAAGTAAAGCCAAAGGGAATGAAAAAGTAGTAATTAGCATAATAAAAGACTGAACACCATCAACAGAAACGACACAAAATAATAACTACTGGTTTGATGAATGGATTCAACTCCCAGCTGTGATTTAGAAGAAGCAGATAATTCATCGAGTACGATATGATTATAAGATGACGCCCTTACTAAGTTGGAATTCATTGGATATATAAACTTTACCGTATTAATACATGGCTATTATGTAAAACAAAAACTTCTACATGATAGTGAACCAGTTGAAAAACGCGTTCCGGTGTTTTCTACTACTCAGGGTATAAAATTGTTAGATGATTATCATCATTGATATGACAATCAAACACTAAAAACATCGTTGCTTCTGTTTACTTAGATCTACATAGTTCATACTATGGAATTCAGTTCGATTAATTATTCGGTTTGCATTCTAATGAACGACAAAAGTACAAATTCGTATCACATATCTTTCAAGAATTGAACAAAACACTTTTTAATATAAACTAATCCATTACAAACATTCGATTTTATCAGCATTTCGACGAGTATTTTCAGATTCAGTACAGGTTTGCTTATTTCGTCTGAGCCAATATATATGGCGGAGACTACAGCAATCCTCATTTTCAATAGCCCCAAATGACCTATTAAGAGTTTGCTCTACAGTTCCATCGGTTGGCTAAATTAGTTTTTTATCGGTCATAGATGTAACCTCATTTGACATTTTTTTAGTCATCATTCTACGTAGAAATTAACGTATTAACTAATTATTTTGGAAACACGTGGGTCAGGTGACCTACAACTTGCGGAAGCCTTAGTGACCTAATTTTCCAAATTGTAGCATTGAATGTCCACAGTTCCATCATGAAAGATCTTCCTAAAACGAACAGTGTGACAGAAGAGTAACATGCTCATCCAAACATACAAGATAGTCAATGATGTTCTAGAAAAGGAATGGAGTCCAGGTGGATTGGAGATCGAAAAACTCAGTCCACTGGTTCAACAAAAGCATGCGAAAATGTGAAAGGAGGTAACAACATGGATTAAATTGTCTGTGGAGGACTATGGGAACAAACTGTTACTAACGACTTTACGTGGTATGGTATAAAATTTGAACTCATTCATTTAAACATATTAAACTGTGTTATAAAGATTTTATAAATGTAAATAACACTTGGATGCTCATTATATTATTCAATCTTTCTGTTGATAATCTTTCATTATACTATTAAATTTCCATTTTTTGATGCTCGCACCGATACAAATTCCCCTTATTGAAGGATACTGGAAAGTGAGTTCTATGAGTCCAAATAAATTATAGTGAAAAAAACTTCCTGTGAAGTAAAAAACCCAGAGAACTATGATTTATCTAAGCAAGAGTACATTGCTTCTGAAGTAGCCTCTGTTCTACAGATGAATCAGTTTAAAATCAGACAGCAAAACTCAACCCCAGGTAACTAAGTTTTTACTTGAATATTTTGTAAAAAAAACTACCGTCTTAGGGAACTGATAATATATTAATTCACATAAACTAGACAGTATATGTAAAACTCGTTCTTCTCATACTTCCAATACTAGGATATTGATTGGGTTCAAACAGAAAAACATGTATTTGAATGCGCCACTAACCATCCATTTTTAGTTGGTTTACATTCGTGTTTCCAAACTAGAAGTCGGTAAGTTTCTAAAATCAATATAATCCATAAAATTCGTATTTTGTAACCTCATAGATTAACACTATTGTCTAAATGCTGTACGGTTTTATGGAGAAAACTATCCTAAAGGACATTATTTCTAAGGTTCTATATTTTCCGATTGCTAGTATTTAAGATTACATTTTTCTCTTTTTTTGTTGCGATATGGACCCGTATAGTGGATATGGTAACATGAATTTTCCATGTAGTTGACTTAGTCCCACCGAAATGATTTTCTGAGTGCGACTACTAAAAAAGCATTTTCCTGATTATCATTGCTAATTTATTTATTTCAACACATAATATTGGTACAAGAGGGCACCAAATATATATGCGCCACACCATATTTGTGTGTGTGGGCTGTGATACTGCCCGGGTGCCCAAACCGAAACAGGTGGTTTTCTTAGGGGACCACACTCCAAGCCTTTGACCTAAAGGTCTGACCCACAAGGCAGTGGAGCATCGTGAGGAGATGCAGTCCCATGGTAGCCGGTGACCAACGATTGGTTCATACGCCATTTGTTCCCGCAGGATACTGGAGCCCATGTACACCATTGGTTTGGAATCCGGTTAGAGCGCTGGACATTCGCTTTTCGTCCTCTCAATTTCGTAAACAACACCCCCACCACAAGAAGGCAATGAGTAGGACTTCCCTGGCAGAGGCTGTATACGCGTGGCCGTGTGAGAGTATTTCGAGAGAGTGGGCGAACCCACCCCACTCTCGGCCATACCAGGGCATTTATTGCTTAATGATCAAATCCATTTATTCTCAATTGCATATTTAAACCTCGTATCACCCAATTCAGCTCTTAAAAACGTGAATAGTATCTCTGGTTCGTTCGTTACAATATTGTTGCTCAAGACGGAGTATGAGAACCATGTACTTGGTTACTGAGTTGTATTATTGTTTGATGGTTTAACCGAGTAACAACTGTCAATATATAATTATTTGTATCTATAATCACTCAGGATCTAAGAATATCGTTCAGTTCACTCATATAAGTTGGAAAACACATTGCTATTAGTTTTCGAATTTGACTAAATCCGGAGCGATATATCATAGTATCACTGATTTTGTAATAAAACGTTATTTAATTTATTTTTAATGGTTAATTTGATGTGGATAAATCAAATATTGATTTGCACCATCTCAGTATTGATCAATCTTTTTACGAATTTATTCTGAGTTTTTGATCTTATTTTATTCCATGATATATTTGTAAACAACAGTGAAGTCAGCTGATAATGACGGCATTTTTTATACATGCCAATTACTCGAATAATGAGTGATGTGCTTATTTCATTTTAAGTCTTTATATGTCAAGAAGTTATTTAACATCCTAAATAATATTAATTTATAATCTTAATAAAGTGCCTTTACACTATTCGCATAAGTCAGTCCATATTTTAAAATCATATAAAGTGAAAGGTTTTATTAAGTTATTGATGCGATACACATCATATTCGTGTATTTCAGTCGCGTGTGTTGTATATGGTAATAATTCAACATTTATTTGCAATAAGTGGTTTTGTACTGATTTCATGATGACACGCCTATTTAGTAATAACTTTCTACGAGATAAATTTTTTGAAAGTTCTGGTAGCGAGCATCTAAAGTCAACCATTTCAAATAGGACTGTTAATTACTGACGAGATTGATAAAGTATTGCGATGTCACAAAGTGATAGATAGATAGTCGGACAAGTGAACTGATATACATCGACTTCATATAATATAATTTAGACAGTAGTAAAACCAGAACGGTAACTAGTCAGTTCACTGGGTCAAGTCCTAGGGCATTCAGTTTCCATTCAAATAATTCTATGTTAATATCTGTAACTGTGTTGTGGTTAAGTAATATGAGTTCAAATATCTAGAGTAGAATTATCTCAGATATTTGAAAAGTGATTTTTCTGGTTCAAATCAACAACTGTCAAAAATAACATCTACTCATAAGCAAATAAAACCAAACCTAAAAATCTCCAGTCTTTGATAATCATAAATAAATAATGACTCACATTAACTCGGCGCCCAAATATTGTGAAACTATTCGTTCAAATTTAGACGAAAGTTCTTATTTATCATAAATAAATGTTTTTTGGAATAATCCATGTTGAAGTAAAAAAATGTATCATCATAACATTAATTGTTGATATTTATTTAGATTATTATCCATATCTCCTCTTCCTGTATGTGTTAACACTATTGGTTATTTTTACTCTGTGTTTAGTTCATCCAAAAATTTATTTGTTTTATGTATAAATTTCTGGAAAATCCCAAAAGCATAAATGATATGCCAAACTAACCTTGTTCAATGAGTGTTGTAGGCTTCTAAACGAAAATCCTGTTAAATAAAAACTTATGCTGACCCTATGTACAATTACGTATAGAATTATGGCTCGTAGTTTTAGACATGACATTTATAGAAAAATCGAACCATCTATCGGTTATTTCAATAGTAAACGTTTTTATAATTTACCCATACTTAATTGCCTTGTTGTTTTCCCTGGTTAGCGTTTTTTGCAAGGGGTTGTTAATTCCATGCTCAATCCTCTTTACCTAGGCTTTGGAACTGGCATGAACCCTAGGAGGGTTTCAGGTGGAGTTTTGTTATTCTCATAGATAATGGTAATTGTTTTTAGTATGATTAGTTAATCAGTGATCCAGATTTTGTGTTATACTTCATTCTTTCTATTCTTTTTTTCAAAACTAACTTATAAACAATAGGTTATTCTTTGTCATTGAATTTGTTAATGGTGGAGACCTAATGTTTTATATGCAACGTAATCTTCGTTTAGCAGAAGATTACGCACGATTCTATGCAGCTGAAATTTGCATTGCATTAAATTTTCTCCATGAACGTGGTATTATTTACCGAGATCTCAAGTTAGACAATGTTTTGATGGATAGCGAAGGTCATATTAAACTGACTGATTATGGAATGTGTAAAGTAAGGGAAAATATTAACTTTTCTCGTTTAATGTTTATGTATGATTTTAACTTGACTTTTCGATTAACAATACGTAGCTATACTGACTAATCTTGATCGTTGTCTATTACAGTATGTTCGAAAGATAATGTTTCGCTGCTTTTTATCACGGTCGATATCATTCAGGTCATTCAATATGAATAAATGTATGTTTAGCGCGTTACGATTAGAAAAACTAAGTGACATTGTATTCCGCGTAACATTTTTGAAGTAATAGTTGCTACCGACTTAATTTTTTCATGAAACAGTAAAACTTTCCTTAAGCTATTATACGTGTAGTTATTTCCTTCATTACTGTATCAGTGTTGATATTCAGTCAGTCATACACAACATAGAACCTTGGACATCTGTACATTGGTTCAAAGATGCCATACCCTAATAACACAATTAGATGAAACTGTCAAAGAAAGTCTCAAAATGGTGAAGGTAGTAACATTTTTATTAGTAGTCGAAAAGACGTTCACGGAGAATTTAGAAACTTAAGATTTAAGGGAAGACGAATAGTGAAAACACCATAATTACAATCGATTCTGAGCCATATCACCTATTGTCTCCATCCATTGGTTTTGATAATCATGGGGACGTCAATTAGGTTGTTTGCACGTATCTAAATGCCTGAGTTCAATTCACAATGAATCCATAGACTAATCCCATTTCTTGACTAGGCCACACATCCATGGTTAGTCATTCCAATCAAATTAAAAGCGGAACAGATTCCTTATATTATTTAAAAAGTTGGAAAATAGGTAATCTAGAAGTTTAGATAAATTGAATGTTTTTATTAAATTTATTTCATATGATCAGTTAGCATCATTAAGTTTGTTACGTATTTCCATGATATAACTAGCGTAAATCAAATGAATAGAAATATATTCAATTAATTCTTTAATTAGATTCTCAGCTAGTAAGAATTCTAAAGACATATACTCGTGAGCATATCACTTCGTGACAATTTATTCACTTTTAAAATCATATTTTGGAAGTTATGACATAGACGACGATCAGTACTTTACAAACTCATTTTGAATTATTATTCTCAACTCTAATAAAACGCTGTGTCAAAATAAGTATTTTATTCTACTACTTAGTTAAAGTATTTGCCTGAAGACTAAGTGATAGTAGCTAGTATTATTAACATTGATTGTACACTACAAATTCTTCTCGCTTGTTTTAAGCATATAGTACACTATTTAAGATATAAAACAAGACAATTCAACTTAATAAATAATATATTATTAATCGTATCTAAATTATTATTTATTTAATAGGAAGGAATCATCGGAGATATGACTACAACTACATTTTGTGGTACACCGAATTATATAGCTCCTGAAATACTGAAAGGAGAAAGTTATAGTAAGTTTCTTTTTATATGTGAATAAAATAAAGACAGTGATCGAGATAAATTAGTATGGATTCATTAATTTTACAGATATCTGAGCTTCCTATAACCTAAAAATTTTAGTAATTATTTTAAAAAAAGATATACATACTTTATTACCATAAAAACAGTCTTCGTCAACGAACATAAGGTAAAAAAAGGAATTAATTAATCTAGAAAAGCTACAAGAGATATTCTTATAGTTGCTTATTTACATGTTAGTATTCTCAAGAAAAAAACACAACTGAAATACACCTGAAAATAGGCCTCTAGAAATGAAAAATCAATGTCAAAAGTTACACAATAATAACAATTAAAAAAAAACATGAATTGATTAAAAGTGAATAAAACAGGCTAAGATAAAATACAAGAATAAAGAAGAATTTATTTCTCTCTATTTATTACTTTTTTTCATTGGTAAAAGCTTTCCTGTTATAAAATGATATCAAGTATGTACATTGTTTTTGAAATTATTAATACAATTGGAATCCAGGACTCACTTTTCGTCCTGTTTGGGACTCATCAGCTGGATGTACCTGCATCTCAGAGTTGATGTTCACTCTGGGACTCGAACTCAGTACCGTTCGCCTCAAATGCCATCACGTGTTATCCACTTAGCTACTGAGTCCTGATAGCCACTTGCTTATAATGCTTGTAAATTAAGGCAATATTGAGGCATACGCACAGTATGCACATATGCCAATAAGAGACTGATCGATTTCAGTCCTAAAACATCAATCGGAAGATTCAAGTAAAACAATACCAAGTGTATTAATACAATTATTCTTAAATTGTAAACATTTGAAGAGACTGTATAAAATAAATGAATATACACTATTCTACTATTATAGAGTTTTATTCATTTAATATTTTTTTTTATCTAGATAATATATTCTTTCATCAATCAGTCTGTAAATCAGTTAAAGTGACTTATGAGTTAAATCATTTGGATTTTAGTTTCAGACATTAAATTGTAAGGTATTCGGATTACTACCATTATAAAATGTTGAACTTCAATTTGTATAATTGACTAGTAACATTATCTCTTTCATACTAAATACGTACTTTAATTGATTAAGATGACCCTGATATTTTCCCAAACTAACTTTAAATTTTTCGTTATTGATATTTATTCTTTTTTAATATACGGGTATAAAATTGACTCGATTTTGCTAGTATTATAGACTTCTAAATGAATCAGTATTCAACTCAGATTTGAGTAAGCTTTTCAAGAATGATTCACATAAATTAAGTAACGAACATGTTTTATGAATGAACTTGCAGATTGTTATAATTTTCAGTTCATCATTAAAATGCTTTTTAAATAGCAATTGTTCTATACTTATAGATCTATTCAAAACTAATTTCTATTGTATTAACTAACATTCAGCAGTCTAATGTGTGTTTAAAAAAGTCGAAATGTTAAGAAATGTGAGGTTAGATAAATATATTTTGCAGAAAGTCGAATAATTTTATGGAGCTATGAAAATAACTAACTAAATGACTCATTTTGTGTACTACTTACTTACTTGAGCCTGTTACACCTCTCGGGGTACTGGGCGCCTACCAATGATCTCCAAACAACTCTATCCTGAGCTCTCCTTTCCAGTTTTTGCCAAGTACGGTTCGTCTTTTTGGTACCTGCATCCCATCCTCGGTGCTATGTGTTCTTTGGTTCACCTCTTTTACTTGTGCTTTAAAGATTCGTAGTTGTGGTTTGCCGTATGATCCAGTTTTGTGGTTTTTTTTAAACTGTCTTATCTACTCTTAGTGTCTTTTCCTAATCTCCTCAAATGACAATAGATTGTTACTGATGACCTCTGGCCAATGGATATGTAGTATCTTGCATAAATAGCTGTTAATAAATACCTGTACTTTTTGGCGACAGTGGTGGTAGCTCTCTGAGTTTAATCTATATACAATAGAAGAGTTACTGACTTTGATCTTGTTTGGGAGTCTTTTTGGGTTTCAGATATTCTTCAGTTGTGGGGATGTCACCCTTTGCCAATGTGTGCCTTTATATCTGCATCAGGTTCTCCTTCTTTATTAATAATGCTCCGCAGGTATGTAAAGGTTCCCACCTATTCCAGAGCTTCGCCATCAGCAGTGATTCGGTTGCTACTCTTCCCTGTGTTGTATTTCAAGGGTTTTCCTCCTTTTTAGTGTTAAGGCCCACTACTGTTATAGCCGCTGTTACACTTGCTGTCTTCATCTACATTTGTTGCTGTATACACAATAAATAGGCTTAGTTATCTGCGAAGTACAAATCATCCGGCTGTATCCAATGTGTCTACCATATTCCATACATTTTCTGAGATATGAAGTTCGTCATAATTCAATCGATAACTGTCAAAATGAGGAAGGCTAGAGTGGGCAGTTTTGCTTTACATCGGTTTTCACTTTTAATTTATCTGTGAGCTGCTCTTCTTGCAGAACTTCGCAATTCAGTCTTTCGTATGAGTTCCGTATAATGGTGACGATCCTCCCAGATATCCCCTAGCTTTGAAGATTCTATAAGGTCCCCCCATCCACTCTGTCAATTACTTATAACCAAAGAAGTCGATATTTAGTGATAAGTTCCTTTTTCAATTGATTATTCAATAATGATGTATAGTGTCGCGATTCGGTTGATTCATAATCGATGCTTACGAAATCCAGTTTGTTGGTTTTCAAGTTGATCGTCTATTGGCACTTTCATCCCGTTAACTAACACTTTTGACAACGGTGTAATGCCTCTTTTGTCCTCACTAAGATCTTTCTTTGGTTCTTGATAAAGTATCCCTCTTTCTGCTCTCTTGCTATTCATTCTTTTCGCATAGTTCTGAAAAGAAAATAAAGCACCTTTCCAGTTGCCTCTAATACAGTGCTTGATGTAATAGATTCATAAACAGTCAAATCTGGATACATACAGAGATATGAGGTAAAAGTTAAAATGAAGTAATTCCAACGTTTCTCCCCTCAGTCTGGTTCAATTGATATGCTTGTCTTTTTGAAATGCACATAATTACTACAGTGATGACTAATAGTAACATAAATTAACATAATCGATAAAATAGGATCAACCCCATGGTTAGGTCATAATGGAATTGGCTACTATTTATCCCTCAATTATGATCAGTGTTGTTAAGTTGCCACTTAAGATTTTCAGTGATAAAAATTATTTCATATTTTATCGGTTGTTTTTGCACTATATCCATTCTCCCCTTAATGGTATTGCGTAATCAACTTTTTGAACATTATATATGAATATCTGCTTTGTATTAAATTCCTCTTTTCACTATTTCCTTTTTCTTTAAATACTGTCTAAGTTTATTTTAGTTTCTTGACAGTTATTTGTCGAGAAAATCATACTACTATGAATTCGTACATCACTTGTCCGCTGCTATGTGATACTGACGTTTACGACTATTGAATTACTATTGGTTCTGGCATCCCATCATTTAATGTTAGGCCATTGTTCTACATTTTCTTTTTTACACACTTTTTGATTAACATCAGTATATAGCAAGAATTTCTAGTTAGTATGGTCACGTTGATGGTAATTTATCTGTCAATTTATTGCGTTCTCTTTGGTTTGTACATTATATATACCAAGTTAATAATAAAAATATTTAGGGGATGTCTGAGATGTATGAACCAGATGGCAGAGGTATTATTCAAAATATATGAATTCAAAATGGTTTGTGAATAATGTAATCCATTTATCTCATAGTTTATCATTACTACTATAATTTGAAATAGTAGTAAAAATATATTTTTTGATATTTGTTAAATTAGGTTTCAGTGTTGACTGGTGGGCATTAGGCGTACTTATGTTTGAGATGTTAGCTGGTCGATCTCCTTGGGAAGGTGTTGGACAGTCAGCTAATCCAGATCAAAATACTGAGGATTATTTATTTCAAAGTTAGTCCTATTTTGTTTTATTAACCATAGTGGGCGTTTTATTTGGATTCTGGCATCTTTGTGATTTGTAGTTTAATTTCCTCTGTATAGCCGTATCGTGAATGCAATTATGTGAATCAGTTAATTAGGCGATGAATAGCCCCGAGTCTTACACCAGAATTTCGTCTTCAGAATCGAAAATAGTAGTTGCACGTCCGACGTTTTGTAGCTGTCCTGGCTCATAATCACGAACAACCAGGAGTTTGTAAGCAGAGGTGGATGGTGGCTAGCAGTAGGATCCAGATTGCGCGTTTTGGGACTGGTCACCTGAATACACTTATAACTTAAGGCAGTCCACACAGGATGCACATATTCCAATAAGAGACTGATCGATTGCCGTCCTCAACATCAATGGGACGATTCAAACGACCAATATAAAGGTGAACTAGAGGCTTAGTTTTAGTAAGACAACTTTTGTGTTCAGTTGCATAGATACAGGTGGTTTTTATGGATGCTTAGAATTCTGAACGAATCATATCAAGAAGCAGTTCAGTTGACTCAGTTGAATGATTTTTACCGAATGTTCTTGTTCTCTATGGTTGGTGAATACTGACTCACATACCGAGGTTAAGAAGGGCTTGTAGGGACGTTTAAGTACTAGGTCACTGCAGGATAGCTAGCTGACTAAACCCCAAGTTCTTTGTTATTATTCACCACCCTCTTTGATTTTTTCATGAGGTATGATGAGTTTAAAGTTTTTCAGTATTAATAATAATGGTTAAATTAGTATTGTTCTCTTACCTCTGATCTTCGTAATACTTTATCAACGGTTTAAAAATAATGATAAACAGTAATGAGGATGGGTTCGTGTTTGTTCAGTTTCTATGTGGTTTACCTTGAATGTAAGTCTACCTTCGACTCAGGTGATAGGGCTGTGCATTCTAACTGTCTCAAAATTTGTTCACAAGTTCACAATGGAATATAGGTATACTTTGTCGTGAACTAGCAACGAGGATAGTCATGGTCGCCTAATCTTCCCATATCTTTTTAATTACCCTATCGGTTGTGTTTTAAAGCAGCTGTATTATAGGAAAAAAAATAGCAGTGTAAATCTGCTAATAGGATAAATGCTCCTCAATCTACAGTTTTGGATTATACCTCCTTTCTGTCCTACACCATACAGTCCACGCAAATTACTTTTGATCACCTATTTCCCAGTGTATGAAAATATACTATGTGTTTTGTACCATCAATGTACGATGGAATTTTAAGAAATTAGTTGTACTCCGTTTTTATCCACAAGTAGTGGCGAGTTATTAAAGACAACCAAAGATTTTTTGTATCTGTGTAGTTTCGTAATTGCCAGTGGTATAATAAATGACATCCTGTATGCCAATCCGGGCTTTTTAGCATCTTCATAACGTTAACCACCTATCAAGAAAATGTCCAATGAGCGGTTCGGTGGTATAAGAATTTTTAATCTCTGCTTATAAAACTTGACATTTCTGAACTCAATATTTTCAGTCACCGTTGTGTTGAGATAACTATCCGCTTTCTGTCAGCATTTTTTTAATACAAAGCTATGATTTAACATTAACTGTCATCATTGCCAATATGCGATTTTACCGGCGAAATATGTAATGTCATTTAAATAACCACACAACTTTCAAAGAATTCATCTTTTTCTAATATGAAATAACGATGCGCTTCAAGACTCAACAGTTTATTAGACTCGTTTACTTCCTTACTTACGCTTGTTACCCCTCATGGAGGAGCATAGGCCGCTCACCATCCTACTCTATCCTGGACAATCCTTTCCAGTCGCTATTCATCCCATTTATGTCTGCTTCCAATTCCTGGCTTAGTATGCTCCTTGGTCTTCCGCTTTTCTGCTTCCCTCCACAATCCCAAGTTAGCCCTTGCTTCGTAAAGCAGTTTAATGATTTCCACAATGTATGTCCTAGACACTTCCAACATCTTTTTCTGATTTCTCCCTCAGCTGAAATCTGGTTTATCCTCTCCTACAGTTGGTTGTTGCTGATGATATCCGGTCAACAATCATTCAGTATCTTGCGTAGACAGTTGTTTATTATTACTTGTACTCTTTTGATGATAGTTGTGGTAATTCTTCAAGTTTCAGCTCCATACAGTAGAACTGTCTTGAAGTTCGTATTGAGGATTGTGACTTTGATGTTAGTTGACAGTTGTTTTGAGTTCCATATATTGTTCAACTGTAGGAATGTGCCCTCACTTGTACGTCTGAATCGGATCCTCCTTGTTCATCGATGTTGCCGACCAGGTAGGTACGTGGACATTTCCACCTCTTCCAGAGCTTCTTCATCAAGTGTGATTGCTTTGGTATTCTCCGTGTTGTGTTTGGCGCATATATATTCAGTGCTTCCTTGTACCAATGTTTATGTGTTCAAATAAATAAATAAACTTGTTGAGTCTCCTAGAATAATCAATGTAATCTTATCTCGTGAGACTTTATTGCATCAAAATTTTTTTTGCCAGTTAACTGTATTAAAATGAATATATATATTTATCATTCTGTTTAAATAGTCATTCTCAGTCGTCCAATTCGTTTTCCACGTTCTATTTCTGTTCGTGCAACCAGCATACTTAATGCATTTCTCCAAAAGGTTTGTCAATTCATTTCTTATGATTATTACTATTGATTGTTTATCAATAGGAAGACTGCAATTTTCTATTTTATCAGTTAGCATAATATTGTTAGTTAATTTAAATGTCGATTGCTAATTACAAAAAATTCATCTCCAAATTTTATCCAATAGAAAAATCTCACTCAGTTATCACTTTCTATATTCATACAGTAAATATTGAAATCACATCTTTTGTTTTTCCAAGATTATTATACTTCAACTCTAGGTAGCGAATCTAAATTAAAACATCTAACTCTGCCAAAATTTGTATGACATATCTACTAACTTAATTACTATACTGTTAATTCAATCATACACTTATTCTTTTACAATATTTTGTGAAATTAATTTCATCACTCATAAATGTAGACATATGTACTTCGTTTTAGTTTTAATTCACGCCTTTATCCATTTGTTTAGTGATACTAAAATAAATATCCATGTATTTAAAGATGATTACATTTTATTCCCGCATTCAGTTGGTCACCCTTACACAGTGCAATTCAGTCTGTCAGTAAAATTATTGACTTTTTCCTAAATAATTTAAAAACTACGATCTCAACCGAAGTGTTCATTAGTTTAGGTTCCATTCCATTGTGACTTCAATCAGGTAATGTTTTAGTATTATATCCATCGACATGTGTCATTTGGAGTTCAGTCGTTGAGTAGGATTGAAGTTACAAATTGTATATCTAAAGATTTACGATGCAACAATATACAGTTTGAAATTTGTTTAGTCCGGTAACTATTATTGCTAGTAAGAAACGTTACATTATCGAAGCATCTTTTTCGATAAGGTTTAGTCGGTCAGACAACCACAACCTGACACATTTGTACACCAGTTCTAGTTGCCATACCCCATCAACACTGCGAGATAAAATCGTCAAAACAAATTCCAGTTTAGTAGGGGTACTAACAGTATTAATGGTTATAGAAAACATTAGGTATCGGAGATACTATTTTAGAAAAAAATGTAAATTAGTGAAACAATAAAAGAACTTATGGAGAATCTAGAAACTTGGGATTTAAAGGGAGGCATTCCCGAAAGTTAAGTAAAATTTATATTTTCAGCGTATGATGAAGCATTATACTCAAGAAAATCTACGTTCAATATTTCTCCATGCATTTGTCTTAAAGCTTTTTCTAAATCATAGTCTAGTACATTGAAAGCATACTGTGTGATCATTAAAGATGCACTTATCAAATGTACTTAATTAAATCAGTTAGTCGTACAAAATAGTTGTCATTTTCCCCTAAATTTCCATCGTATGCAATATTTTAACTAAATTTGTGTATCTCAGGTGCCAACTGAACGCCTTGGATGTGCGCCAAATTCAAGTTTTGGTGATATTATGGAGCACGGATTTTTCAAACCGATCGATTGGGTAGCTTTAGAAAGGAAAGAAGTTCATCCTCCCTATCGTCCAACATGTGGAGGCGATAGAGATCTGATACATTTCGATCCTGCATTCACCGATGAACCTGTAGTGCTAACACCAGATAACGAGTAAGTGTTCAATATTTTATAAATGTTTACACATTTTTGCAAACATCTGCCTTATTTTTCATCTTTTTTCGCTAAAAACTTTAGTATACTATAATATCACAAAAAAGTCCAATATCAGACCTGTTCTTATTTGAATCAATATTACCAAAAAAATTTGGACTATAATAATAATGAATTCAACTAAACTTGCACCATTAGATTCTAATTTAGTCGTTGAAAGTTTTCATTATGTTTATAAGGCTTAAATGTCTTGGATTTGCTCGCTGACAGGATTGCGGGCACATACTTGTGAACAGTTTGATACTGAAGCATAATAACTACCTTTCACTCCTTTTTTCAATGTTTCTTCGATTGATATCAATCGGTGAATCTTCATAATCTATTAAACTAAATAATTTAATAATGTGAATATAGAATGACTTACTTGGCATCTATCATAATATGGGACGTTAAGACAAGCGAGTACTCTACTATTCTAATTTTTTCGTGTGTCAAAAAGTCATGATATTACATTTTGTATGATGATTTAATATATATAAAGATTTAAAATATATAGCAATAATAATAAAATAAACCTTATTAATGATAAATAATATAATCTATAACTAAATGAATGATCAATTTTACACCGCCATTGAAAGCCAGGAAGCATTGGACGTTCATTTCGACCTAGTGTGGAACTCCTCAGTAGTGCACATCCAAGACAACGAGTGGTTCGGCAATCGAACTCAGGGCGTACAGTTTTGCGTGCAAACGCTTAACCCGTTGACCACTAATCTGGCATTCAACGGGATTAATGTCTAAGTTCAACCAACCCTCAACATTACACATCCATCTTCCAATGTCTTCAATAGGTAACTATCTCACAGCCAACAAGGTTGAACTCCACTGGTCGCAACTTACTAAAGTCAATATAAGATGCTCGTGCAATGCGGTGGATTGTTTGAAGTTTTACATTAACACCGTTGGTTGCTGGCCTAGTGGTCTAGGGGTTAAGCCTTCGCGCAAGAGACCGAAGTCCTGGGTTCGATTCCAGCTTGGGAATCGTGGATGCGCACTCCTGGGGAGTCCTACTAGGACGAAACAGCCATTCAATGCCTTCAGGTTTTCTATGGCGATGTAACATTGATCGGTTCATGATCAAAATTACAACTCAGCAATCTCTATAAACGTTTACTGATAAAGGAATGATATTTTATCTGTTGAAAATAAATAGTGAGTTTAAAATTTAAAACTATCATTATCATTTAAATTCAATATTAATTTCTTTATATATGTGTACACATGGAACTATTAAGATGTAACTAATCATTCAATCCACATATATCTTCCGTAATTTTTAATCAATCCTAACGTAATGTATCCCGTTCATATTTTTGGTTGACGAACACACATCCTGTGTATGAGTTTAACTGTAATATAGAAAGTTGTATGAGAATAGCTTTTCTTCTATACACTGATCATTGTCAGTCAAAATAAATTCAGGAGTATTTATACGGAAGTATTCTAATGAAATATCCAATATATATAATATTGGAATTTTCATCCAACTGCGTCATTTCTAACGATCGTGAATACGTGTCAGTAAGAAATTTCAGTTTTCTTTATCAATATAATTTTCTAAATAAAAAATCTCCAAACGTAATCTGTTCATCGGTACACTTTGATTTAATCGTTTACAATATTATTCACCTTAAGTTTTGTTAAATTTTACGGCTTAGAAACATTAAAAACTGATATTACTGAAATGGTTTACGTATTTTCCAGTTGTTTTTCTTAAATTTGTAAATATGACGTGATAGGAATTTTAGTAATTAGATGAATTATCACATTAATAAAAGCGCATAAATTTGTTTTTAAAAGTGAAAAAATAACATGAATCGAAATGTATTCGTTTTCTGTCCAAGTTTCAAGTGTTGTTTTCGTTTCGTATTACTTTTTAAATTATTTTCATAAACTTTAAATTACTATTTTATTTTAAAATAATATATCATCAAATAAGAATATAATCAGTCAAGAGTAACGAGGAACTTATGTGCATCAGATCAAATTGTCACAACTCTATCAGTATATCAGGGTGAAATTAACAGAATAAATTCCAGGGTAGTAAAAATAGTATCAGTGGTAGTAGAACACATTATTTATAGAAATCATAATTTGGGAAACGATGAATGCACGGAGTAAAATGTATGAGTATTTTAAGACTTAAAATGAATAAATATGCAACATTGAAACCGATTTTGAGCTATGTCATCAGGTAATCCAAACCTACTTACACCAAACAGTTCACCATCCAATAACTTCATAGACTGGATATTACATCTTGTTTTGGTCGTCCCTAACTTTCGTCCAACTGACTTATAGTACTGCAAACGTCACAGGTTGAGTTATGTTGTATTTGCGAATTTAATCGATATTTTTAATCTAGACTTCATTTCTCGACGTTAAATGTATTTTTTTAGTAGCTATATTAATTTGCTTCGAATTGAAATAATAATAATAATCCATAAGGAATGATTTTCCAGTGACTTTCATCCAAATTTATGCCCACTAACTGTCGAAGTTACATCTGTTGTGAAAAGGAAATAATTTCTCTTTATATGTCACTGTCTTTATAACTAAACTAGAGTTTGAACTCATTGACGAGTGTTAGTTGAACTGAACCGACAATTCGATTATTTAGACTAATGTGAGATTTGTAAATGTTAAATAACTAAAGGGCAAGGTCATTGGTTTACAACTCTATTTCGTTTAACTCCAGATACCATCTAGGTTACAATATATTAGACAGTTTAATTAGTGTTCTATGTTTTTTAACCATATTCTTAGTACTATCACTATTTTCCGTACAGTTTTATTTTACAAATTTCATTGATTTGAAAAGTGTATGATCGTGCATACCTGGAACTTTTGTGCACACTCTATAATTCATTACACACATTCGTTTATATTCACTTTAAATATGAAAACATTACGGAACAATAGACAAGGTGTATATGTGAAGTAATATTGTGCAACAAATGCCTCCTCTTTTTTAGAGAGGCTTTCGTAAAAACCAAATGCAGCACATCTAAGACAACCATTAAAAACCTGGAAGTAATAGATGGTTGCTTCGTCTTAATATGGGACTCAAAAGTGAGCACCTGCAACTTCGAATCGAAACCAAAACCTTCGTTCTCTAGCGCGAACGCTTGACCCCTGGACTAATGTGTAGGAATCCGATGGTTTACAAGTTTAACTTCAACCAACCCACGATTTTGCGCAACCATCTACAGTAAGAATGTTCCTCACACCCAATACAGCTAGGTCCCGGTGGCGACAGCTCGTTAAAATTCCAAAAATTTCCTCGAAGTCAGTTATTAGTGAGTGCATGATGACTTTCAGTGTTATGTTGTGGTAATTGTGGAATTTCATTGAAATCACTAACCAATTTACACCAGAAAACTTAGATAACACTTGGAATTGCATATTTAACTATAAAATAAAAAAGAGATATTTTTCGGTTGGATTAATCATTACTAAAGTCCTTAGATGTCATGTAAGTGAATAGTATTAAAAACTAAGTGTATACATCATTTAAACTGACTTTCATAACTTAACAATTTCAGTACATACCAAGTGGTATCGTTAAACTTCTCATGATATCTGACGAAATGTTAGCATGGATTAAAAACCCAGTTGACTTTTTCTAAATTGCGTCACTTGTGTCAATGTAGAATACCTAGTTGATGTTTTCGGGATCATAGTAACCAGTGATAAAGACTTTGTGTTACATAATTCGTAATGGTTACTGATGCTGAAGGTGCATTAACTACTACTACCACTACTATTAAAAAAACAAATGTTCCGCATGGTTCTGACGTTTAAGAAAACCCTGATGTATCTTTAAAAGTTGTCATTGTAATTTTCAATGCGTTCATTATTGTAATCCCTATTTTTCTTACGGTAATAAAAAAAGTTGATTTTCCAATCTTTTCATTCCACAACAGAGCAGTGATGTCACGTATGGATCAAACAGAATTCGATGGTTTCGAATATGTGAATCCTTTGCTCATGTCGCTAGATGAACAAGTGTAAGAGGAATTCTCATTCCCCCCCCTTCCTCAATGGCTCGTTGTGTTAATCTATCTACCTTCTTTTTTTTTTTTAAAATCACTTTTATTCAATACTACCACCATATCTATTAACAAATAAATAAATAGTATTTTATATTGAATTTTTTTTAAAAAAAAAACTAATTTATCGTATACATTCCATATTCATTCAATTAGCAAAATAAAAATTGTTTAAATCATTTACCAACAGTTCAATGTTAAATTAACTTAAGAACATATCAAATGTTAAAATATTTTCACTTCTTTTGATTTTAGGGTATAATTCTTGAAATATTTTCTTTTTATATAAGAAAAAAAATATTGCTTACTTGGAAGTTTATATTATTTTAAGCACACACACACACACGTACATATATATATATTTCTAGGAAAATTTACTTTGTTTGTTTATTATCAAACAAGCTTCCTTTATTGCTCCGTGTTCTTTATTGATGAACAAATGTGTTTAATTATTTTTTTCTCTCGCTCAATTAATTCTGATGAAAATAAATGCTGACTGTATTTCTATCTTTTTCTAGGTTGTTGTTGTTGTTTTTTTTTAATAGTTTTTATCAATGTTTACTTATTTTCTCCAATTTTATAATTATGGAATGAGTTTAAAGTAAATTATCATGAAATGTTTATTGTAGGTACTGGTAAGTAGTATTAATATGATTTAAATGATAAAATGAAATACTCTTAAATTTAACACTCAATGAAGATAACTTTCTGATGACTTCTAACTACTTACTACTTTAAAAGTATTCCGAGACATAAAACTAGATTGACCAAATTTTTTAAGTAAATAATTAATCAACTTTTTGCGCTAAATTTCTCTGAATTAAGGTTTTTATTTTTGAGAAAACACGAGAATTTATTAACTATATCAGTGTTCAGTTACATATTCCAAAATTGACTTATCAAAATAATGGTTCATCGCTTTCACTGTTAAAAAAACTTGCCAAACGACACATTTTAGAGATTATTTTACAAAACCAGTTCATAACAATATTAGCTATTCACATAGAATTCAATTCTAATGGATAATTTTATTGACTAGTAAGTATTCACAAGGAACAAAATACTTTGTTGGTCAAATCTAAGAAACTTAATACTGAAAAACTTCCATTCGTTCATCGTATAAATGCATCTAGATAGAATTATGAAACCATTCAGTTACACTATTGTATTTTTGTTCCTTTGGTTGAGTGATAATGTCAAAAAGACAACAGTGCATTTTTAACTTAATTTTTACTGTTCAACGATAACTATTCTGAAAAAAACCGTTTTGAATTGATAACCTTAAATTAGTAAATAATCACTTTGGTTGGGAAAATGAAGGCCAATCGTTTATTGGCTGAGTCGGTTACGTCATAGAAATTATTTTAAAATCTTCCCTAGTTGTTTTGACCCTAGATATGGGTTTCAGTAATTCTTTTCTCGAAGCAAGTTTTTTTCACTCTTGAGTGTTGTTTGAAACAATCGTTTCATTGTCTTTTAATTCTGTATAAATATTCTCTGCAGGATGTCTCTATAAATCCTATTGAAGCGTTAAAGTAAGGAAACTGAACAGGACATATCTTAACAATACTGGAAAGAAGGTTAGTTCATCAAGATACCAAAAAAATGAACATTTGAGCAAATGTTAGAATTACAGAGGAATCATACCTACCTTCAGTACTAGGGGAGGTTTTCGATAGAGTATCACTGAACCGGTTGAAGGATTCAGTAGACGCCCAACTTCGAAATAAAATACCAGATTCCTTAACGATCGGTCGTACACAGACCAAATCGCGATACTACGGACCATCGTTGAACAATCAATTTAATGGGATTCGTCACTGAGAAAGCTCTTGATAGCATGGATAGAAGAACCTGCTTCTACACTGTGGTGTATCTGAGGAAATCGTCAACATTCCGATTGAATACCGGTGTCAGACAAGGTTACCTACTCTCCCCCTTCCTCTTTCTTCTGGCGGTCGACTAAATTATGAAGACCTCAACATCTGAGGGAAAGCACGAAATACAATGGACAGACTGGATGCAGCTAGACGATTCGGACTTCGCAGATGACTTGGCTCTCCTATCACATGCACACGAACAAATACAGGTCAAGACAAACAGTGTAGCAGCAGTCTCTGCATTAGTAGGCCTCAAAATACACAAGGGAAAAGTGAGATCCTCAAATACAACACGGAGAATACCAAACTAATCACACTTGATGAAGAAGCTCTGGAAGAGGTGGAAATGTCCACGTACCTACCTGGTCGGCAACATCGATGAACAAGGAGGATCCGATTCAGACGTACAAGTGAGGGCACATTCCTACAGTTGAACAATATATGGAACTCAAAACAACTGTCAACTAACATCAAAGTCACAATCCTCAATACGAACTTCAAGACAGTTCTACTGTATGGAGCTGAAACTTGAAGAATTACCACAACTATCATCAAAAGAGTACAAGTATTAATAAACAACTGTCTACGCAAGATACTGAATGTTTGTTGACCGGATATCATCAGCAACAACCAACTGTAGGAGAGGATAAACCAGATTTCAGCTGAGGGAGAAATCAGAAAAAGATGTTGGAAGTGTCTAGGACATACATTGTGGAAATCATTAAACTGCTTTACGAAGCAAGGGCTAACTTGGGATTGTGGAGGGAAGCAGAAAAGCGGAAGACCAAGGAACATACTGAGCCAGGAATTGGAAGCAGACATAAATGGGATGAATAGCGACTGGAAAGGATTGCCCAGGACAGATGGAGAATGTTTGTGAGTGACTTATGCTCCTCCGCGGCGGATAACAGGTATAAGTAAGCGAAGCTCTGAGGTCCAAGGAATGATTGCGTACAATTGCGTGAGTTTACACTATTGACGTACCTTGAAAGTAAATGGAAACTGTGGTCCAGTATATCTTGTTTTTTATTAGACATCCAACCGATTTGAGTCAGTAATGAGAGATCGTATCAGTTAGTATTATTAGAAGCCTACGTTATATATACTTTGTTTGGAACAGATGATTTACCGTCATTTTCCCAGTTATTCTATCGTTTGTGTGTGTGCTTATTGTGCGTATTTATCCATCTCTGCTTATAAATGTCGAGTCAATTTTTAGTTAGATTGAGTAGGATGAGAAGCCTCTCTCCAGGCTGCATCTCTTGTTGTCTGTCCGAATAAATGAATCCCCTGAGTAGATTCTTTCGATTCGTCCTTGGCTTTTGTTACCACTTCTAAGAAGTCGGGGTTAGCCTAAATATAATATACTATTCCGAATTAAATGAAGAATTTGTTTCATGATTGATTCACCTTGTGTATTGGAGTCATCACATTTCCACTGAAAGTTGACTTGAAATAAACAAGCATTCAAAAACCGGTTAACAGTTTGATATGTCCCATGAAGAATGAGTTGACGACCTTGCTATATTACACTGGCTGGATCCATAGTATTATTTCCTTAGCCATTAGAGTGCACTAAGTTAAATGGATTAGTATCCGCTGAAATGTAGTGTTTGTATGAACTAATGATTGTTGTGTACTTGATTCCTGATTGATTTCGAATTTTAAATACAATACTTTCGTTTGTGCTCACCTAGTTTTATTTGGCTTAAATCGCGCTGCTTCAAGAATTTCTAGTTAATACAATAATTCGAATACTTCTAATTATCATATGAATGTAAATTTTAATATCTATCAACTATATTAGTGTTTGTCATGTAAAAGGAACCAATGCTTATATTTGACAAAGTCAACTTAAAGTTATTTGAAATACATTTCTTCAATAAATTGTTCATTAAAATAGACAATTTTTTTTAATGAATGTTATACTCTTCAATATGTTTACCTGATTGAAATTGTTTAATCAAAATTATAATAAAATTAGCTCAAGAGAAATGCTTGTCGAAAACACTGAACTGTGTTATAAAGTTTACAAAGAACTCATATTTCAGTTGTCTGAAGGTTCTTAGTTATCTTTTCAGACAACATAAAGTCAATGTTTTTATCTCTAACTCAAGTAAAAAATTGGTAAGACTAAATAGAATCTTCACTTATAAATCAACTCAAATGTTGACTTTATTGAGATAATATTTTAATTATTAATAGTCCTATATTGATGTGATAGTATTTGCTCTGTTTTCAATGAATCGAATTCTTCATTCATGTGAGTTGGAATTTTACTTACGACTTAAACCTATCACTTCAAATAGTAACTGAGTATTACCTTCGAGCTATCGAATTACATATTTCGTAATAAATATAAGTTATCTTTAATATCGTATTACTTTCCGGTTACTATCTTTATTTGTATCTCAGATTTTTGTGTGGATAGTTTTCTTTCACCATATAATTTATTGCAATGGCACATCAATTAATGTTAGCTAATAATAGATTTCATCGTACACTTTTCTTCACAAATAATGATATTCAGTTGTGCATAAATCTTATTCAATGAGTGCGTTTTCAGTTAGATAAAATTAAATGTTCCAAATTTTTATGAAATAACCACAAAAATAGTTAACTTCTTCAAATCAGTAAACATTTAATCTCTATTCACACTAGTGTAAGTTATTCATGTTTAACCTTTCTCCAATTTACCCTTCTATTTCTTAACATAATAATTTCTTTTATTTGAAAAATCGTCTAAAAAAATCAAACAGTTTAATATTACGTTACCCAAGACAGCGTTTGAATTAAAGCTTAGATCATATTACATTATTGTAAAATGAATCAATTAACTTTTTGGTGGATTTCTGTTCTCTGAGCTGGATGGTTTGGTCGTGGAGCTTTCATCGTTATTCTGAGCGACATCACCAGCAGAAACTACAGGTAAAAGTGAAGTGTTCGAATTTCTCCACATATGACTCATAGCTTATCCTGCAGATCTCAATCTTGATTGGTTGTTGTTGATCTTTAACCTGTCATTGTTTACTTTATTTTGATTGTATCTCCCACTGATTTAGTTTTTGGTCCTTTATATATATATATATATATATATATATATATATATATATAAACTGCTTTACGAAGCAAGGGCTAACTTGGGATTGTGGAGGGAAGCAGAAAAGTGGAAGACCAAGGAACATACTGAGCCAGGAATTGGAAGCAGACATAAATGGGATGAATAGCGACTGGATATATATATATATATATATATATATATATATATATATATATATATATGGAATGAACACTAGATGATTTTAGGATCAAAAGAAATAGTTCTCCAATACAAAAATTATATTTGAGGCATGAAAATTATTAAAATTAAAAACCAAGCGTTCAGCAATTTTAACTTCTTTAAATGCCTGCCTACCTTTTTATTTATTTAGTTGAACAAATAAATATTGGCATAAGAAGGCGTCTTAATACATATGCGCCACACAATAACAGTGAGATTGTAAAAAGATAGAAAATGTAAAGTGTGTATGATAAAAAGAACAACGAACAGAAATTAGTGAATGAGAGTGAAATAATAATCATAATAGTAATAGCAAACAGTTCAATTACCAAAATACAACCAGAATGAGTCCCTTCAGCTAAGGAAGGTTCATTCATCTTTATGAAGTTATAGAATAATTGCTACTGGCTTCCACTCTGAGCAATATCCGATAACGTTTCTAGTCACTCTGTCGCACCATCTCTAGGACCCCAATCAATGAGTCGTGCAGGACCAACAGAAGCCAGTCCTGTACAGTTTCCTTTCATAGCACGAC